AAGTCCAAAACGCTCTCTGGTCCCAGGTATTTTGGATAAGGAACACTCAACCTGTAACAACAACAGGATACTATTCAATCACTCTAAAGTGACACACCTGAGGGACAGAAGCAGTGGCCCAGAAGCCAGAGGCCCCAATAATCAACCTGCAATCAAGCCAACACCCGCAGCTTTTACTCCCCCGCCCATACACACATGACACACAACTGTGTTCTCCCGACTGCGGTGCTGCATGGGCAACCCTAACATTCTTACCTATCCTTCAGTGAATTGCCTGCTGCCTTTTTCAGTAAAGGGGAAAAATCCAAGCAGCAACAGTGGAACACTTGGGCAAGTTCCCAGGGTGGGAAACTGCTTGGTGGATAAAACATTTTGGTGACTCCATTCATCTTCACAGAGCAGATAGTACAGGCCAGGCCCAGGACTAAAGAGTTTCCCTCTCATCATCCTGTTCAATACTTACCCCCCCATCAGAGAATATTCCACTCTGTAGGGGTGGTGTGCCCAAGGTTAAATGGCTTGTAAACCTAGATCACCAAACCCAATCCAAAGCTCCCTACCTGCTGAGAGGAGGGCTATGCGGGAAGGAGAAGCAGTGAGCAAGGGGGCTCCAGCACCTCCTCTCCTCACTTTTGCCCTTCAATCTCTTCTTCCCCTTTTGGTCACTCAGCAGCATTTATGTAGACTGAAATGCTAAGGAATTATCCATCCAAACCTCATCTAAGGTTGCTCAAGTCATGCTCCTAGAACTAGTTATTGCTCCGTCTCCTAGCTACATACCACAGTCCTTCCTACTGCAAGGAGTCCCAGAGTCTCACCCTGGTGTTCAGTCCCCCTCAGTTTGATTCTGACCCCCTGGGCTGAATGCCTCAATCGCCTTTGTCCACAGGGCCTTCTTGGAAGGTCCTCCCTCTTACTCCTCAGAATCATAGCAGACATTCTGCAGTTCACACTAGACCCCAACTAAAGAACTACAGACCCAGAGCCCTTCTGCCCCTGCAGGCACGTGCCTTTTGAGGTCACTACCCATCCCAGTTAGCAAGCACTGCCCTATATCAAGGCCAGCCTTCCCACAAACCAAGCCCAATTCAAATCCTAGTGACTAAATGAGACTCCCACACACACCCCGTAATGATTAGCACCCACCTCCAAAATCCAGAAGTGATTACTGACTATATCACACTGGTGCCAATTAATGCTACCACCTACTGTTTTTTATAGTTTTATATGTTCTTCCTGTCTCCTAGGTTACACTTTTTTTTGGAAAAGTGCACAAATTCATTGTTACATTTTTTTCACAGAGCATGAGGTTTTATACACAGCAGCCCTTCAACCAACCCCACATTTAGTGCTGCTGCGCTGCACCGTGTCCACCAAGAATCACGGGTGTCAGGCCACAGGCACAGAACAGATGCAGCTGGGCTCAGTGGCTCATGCCTGTAATCTGAGCACTTTGTGGGGGCCAAGGCGGGCAGATCACCTGAGGTCAGGAGTTCAAGACCAACCTAACCAACATGGAGAAACCCTGTCTCTACTAAAAATAGAAAATTAGCCAAGCGTGGTGGCAACATGCCTGTAATCCCAGCTACTCAGGAAGCTGAGGCAGGAGAATGGCTTGAACCCAGGAGGCGGATATTGTGGTGAGCTGAGATCGCACCATTACACTCCAGCCTGGGAAACAAAAGCAAAACTCCAACTCAAAAAAAAAAGAACAGATGGATGCAGGCACAGTCCATCCTCTCATCCTGGTGAGAATGGTCCATGTCACGCTGTTCCCCATGTCTAGCACCACACTGTCCTCCGAGAGGCTCCCAATGTGGATGGGTGGATGCGGATGAACAGTTGGTCCCACCCACCAGTAATCACAACCATAAAAACATCTTTCATGAGAAGAAAAAAGAAATGTCACATATGACTAAGCATAAGCCTTCAAATATCTACTACTCACTGAGGACATGTCTAGTATTAAATCATGGCACTTCACTATCCAGAAAAATTGATTTGTGTAACCTGAGGAGAAAACAGCTCAGATGTAATGCCAGAAAATTAGCCCCACCACACCAGAAAATGTTTACTGCAGAGAAAGCCTTGGTGATTTGGGATTTGGGACCTGTCTCTTTTCATTTTTTATTTTGGCTTGGTTGGTTATTATACAAAGCCATAAACATGATCTGCCCACGTTTCCCCACCAGATGGGAGTTCATCACACCACATGTCACCTAGCAACCCAAACACTGCTCCACAGCTCTCCAGCCACCCAGTTCTCCACACAGAATTTGTCTTGTTCTGTTAAGCAACAGGAGTACGTAAGGAACAGGTAAGAGACAAAAGTTAAAACAATGTTAAATACATAGGGCCGGGCGCGGTGGCTCAAGCCTGTAATCCCAGCACTTTGGGAGGCCGAGGCGGGTGGATGGAGGTCAAGACATCGATACCATCCCGGTCAACATGGTGAAACCCCGTCTCTACCAAAAATACAAAAAAATTAGCTGGGCGTGGTGGCGCATGCCTGTAATCCCGGCTACTCGGGAGGCTGAGGCAGGAGAATTGCCTGAACCCAGGAGGCGGAGGTTGCGGTGAGCCGAGATTGCGCCATTGCACTCCAGCCTGGGTAACAAGAGCAAAACTCTGTCTCAAAAAAAAAAAAAAATGTTAAATACATATTAACACTTTCTCACACATAATATAGAATGGGAAAGACTAAAAATTAATCTTAATCATTATCTAGCAATTTCAGAAGAAAAAGGAGAAAGGGGCCCAGAAGACCCCTGAGTTCTAGCAACATCTGAGGGTCAACAGTCCTGATCTAATGACTGAACTTGGTCTACTGCAAAGCCCCCGTTCAAATTCACCTACAGAACTCTAAGTTGTACTTAAAGAGCATGTAAGTGTTGGAACCCCTGAACTACCTCTCACCCTCCCTCTCAACTCCCATATCACTAACACCCTCCCTTCCTTCAGCTCATAGGCCCCGCTTTTCTCCTTGTGACACCTGCCCAGATACCCTTAAGAAATCTGCACTCCCTTTTCTATGCCCTAGGTCCTTGTGAAACCACCACTGCTAATCATTAATAACAAGGGCCAGGTAGGCCCTGATCTAGTCCGCCAGCATCCCAGAGGCCACCTCTTCTCCCACCACCAGCCCCTTCACCTGGAGGACCTCGCAGCCTCGTGCTCAGACTCTCACAGCCAGTGGGTCCCCTAGATGTCCAGCACCCAGAACAGTGCCTTGGACATAGTCAAAGCTTAAGAATTTCTGTGGAACGAGTTAATGCCTCAAACAACCACATTTGAACTACTGTCAAACAGCCAGTTCAGCCTATGTCTATTTTGTACATGATGAAACGTGAGACATAGTAGGTAAAACAATTTTAATCACATAAAATTAGTAAAGGGAAAGGAAACTTCAATCATCCTACCTTTTCAGGAACCAAGACATAGTACAGAGTGTGTATTATTTTATTTCTTTCCTTGCACGATTTATTTTGTTGGGTTCCAGAGCACCTGAACAATTTGAGTATTCTTTTGGAACATTTAAAGCATAAACTGTCACACATAAACAATCATTAAAAATGCTCAATGTCCATTTAGATGGTTTTCTTTCCCTCTCAGCTTTGCAAGATAAACAGGTGTCCAATTCCCACTAATTTTATTTGATTTTCAATAAAAGAGTTCAACCAACTGTAAGGAACATAGCAGAACTATTAAAGCCAATGTCTTCCAGCCTTAAGTCAGGTTCCTAAACGTTCCCCCAAATTATGTTTGAAAGGCCACATTTATGCTATTTTTTCCAATATATATTGAAAGCAAAACAGCAGTCTAAAAAGCGTTTTCTTCTTAATTTCTGAGATCACTGAAGATGACACCCAGAGCACCCGGTGTACGCTCAATAGGGCTGGCCAAGACACTTTCCAATGTCATCTGCAGCCCCCAAGCCCACAGGCGCCAGGCCACTGTCGGGAACAAATAGGAAACAGTGCACCCAAGAGAATGTGCTCCCCACCAAACAGGACTCTACGACAAAGGAAATATCCTCGGGTGCTTGAGAGAAACTTCAGCGTGGGCTGTTGTCAAATACAGACCCAGTCGGTAAAACAATGTAACAAAATGTCTTTTCACTTCTGACACATAGTAGAGGAATGCAGTGAAGTGGAGACAATGTTATCACTCCAGCAGGAAAAAGGGAAATCCACTCGACTCCCGAGTCAGGCCCGGCTCCACAGCCCTCCGCATGGAAGCAGCCCGGGATGGGTAGGAGCTGAGGTCCTCGCAGGAAAACTTTTCATTCCGCGACTGTGCCGAGGCTGTGCTTTACCGAGCCCAGCAAGGGGGATCAGCACAGTAAATGCTCTCAAGCCAGTGCCAGCAGCGGCCCTCCCGGGAACGCCTCCCGGACCCCAAGCGAGAGACTCCCCCAACCCTGCAGCCCCCGGACGAGGCCGGCCGTCCCGGCCCGCCCGGGACGCAGAGGTAAAAGCCCCCCGCGGTGGTCCCGCCCCCGCCCGAGAAAGGGAGAGGAGATGGAAAGCTCGCAGCCCGCCTCTGTTGGGAGAGCAGTCCCGAAACTCTCCTCACACCAGAAGTTCCCAGTCCCCGGTCGGTGCCCGCGGGGCCTGGGAGCCGGGAGAGGCCTGGGGCTGGATTTCCCGGCCCCCGCCCCCCGCGCGCCTTTTCGGGGCTTGGCTGGGTCTGCAGACTCCGGGGAGGCGCCCGGGGCTGGCCTGTGCGCCGCCGCCCGGCTCGCCCCGCGCTCCCGAGACCGGAGCTCCCGGGGGGCGGCGGGGGCCGCGGCGCGGTGCTCCCGAGGCTGCGCCCCAGCCCGCGCGGAGAACTTTGGCGCCCGCAGCCCCGGGCGGGGGGCGCCCGCGAGGCCGGCCCGGCCGCACTTTCCCTTTCCCCGCCTCCCTGTGCCTCTCCTCCCCCTTCCAGGAAGCGCCATATTGATCCCGGCGCCGTCCCCGCCGCCGCCCCCCTCCCCGCCCGTGCCCTCGGCCCCTCACCTTGGCGATGGCCTTCCGGTAGCGGGTCACCGCCTGCTGGATGAGGCTAAAAACTTTCATGTGGCCGTCCCCGCACGGCACGACCACCCGGGTCCGTCCGAAGCACACGGTCACTTTCATGCCGCCGCCGCCGCCGCGGGCAGGCCCGCGCCCCTCGCCGAGCGCAGGCGGAGCTGCCGGGTCGGGGACGCTAGGAGCGGGGGAGCCGCGGGGTACTCGGGCGCGCAGGCGGCTAGGGGAGCGGGCAGGCGGCGGTGACGCCGGGGGACCGCTCGGCTCGCATGCCGGGCCCGACCCGGCCGCCCTCGCCTCGCCTCGCTTCGCCCGGGGCTCGCCTCGCCTCTCCCCGCCGCGGCGCCCGCAGCCTCCGGCCACCTGTTCGGCGTCTCGGCGCGCTCAGCGGCGGCGGCCCGGGGCTGTGTGGCGCTGGCGCTCGCTCGGGGCCGCTGGGGGAGGGGACGGAGCGAGGGAAGGGGAGGAGAGGGGAGGAGAGGGGAGGGGGAGGAGCAGGGCCGGGCACACAACACCGCGCACATGCGGCAGGGGGAGGCGCGACCGGCTCCCCGCTCTGGGCGGAGCGCACGACGGCCGCCCGCGCCCCCGCCGCAGGCCTCCCGCCTCCCTCCGGGGGCGCGGGACCCCTCGCCCCACAGCCAGCCCGCGCAAGTTGCCGTGGGCCCCCACCAGCTCCGGCCCGGGAGCCCCCAGCCCCCTTCACCCGTCCGCCCAGCACCCTGCGGGGCTGTGCTCACCCCTCCTCCTAGACGCCCCTTCCACGCCTCCAGACGTGTCTCCACGGAGCCCCCCTTCTCCTTCCTTTGTCACTTTTAATCCCCTTCCTCGGACTAGAGGGTTCGGGTGCAGACGCTGCGGGTGAAAGCAGTTTGTGCCCAGCGCGGCGAGTACCCTCCACCGCCCCGCAGACTCCAGCCCGAGCCCCTCGGCCAGCCGGGACCCGAGCCCGCCGCTCGCTCCGCCAGGTTTCTGCCGCCGTCGCTCCCCAGCTAGGCTGCAGGGCCGGGCAGCGGCGGGTTTGCCTGAAACACAAAAATTAATCGTCTGCTCTGGGGAGGCGGTGGGGAAGCTGTGAGCGACCCGGCCTTTTGCCGAGGCCACTATTTACCTTGAAGTTTCCCGTTGACCCGCTGCTGACCCACCCGCTTAAATAGATTAGACCTTAAGCATCGCAATTCTGATACATTTATTTCTTTGAAATTATGCAGCATAAGCAATCCCAACGCGAATCCGAAAGCAGTCTATTCCGACGCCGCGGGAAAACCGCACGCGGGGATCCCCACGCTGTGCCTGCGCTTAATGCGGACGCCTGAACCCCGGGGAAGGCTGCGACTCCGCGATGAGTGACATGCGACTTGAGACGTTTTAAAGGAACGTGGACCGAGTTAGGGAACGTAACTCAAGCTCACTTTGTCTTAGTTATGGACTGTGATTCCTTAATAAACGTATGTCATTGTGTTTAAAGAATGGCAAATGTCAGCAAAGAGTGCCGGAGATGGTAAGCTGGTACCAGACTGTGTGAAATTCATTTTTGCCAGTTGTTTCCAAGGGACGTGAAAGCAATCAAGCTCCCAGAACTTGGGCACTTAGAGCTGGGAGAGCTGCATATCGACCATCCATCCCACTCCACCTCCAATTTTAAAACAAGGTAACAAGACAAGAGGTTCGTCCGCTTGCCACACTCGCTGCGCTTGGCAGCACCACAGCTGCCCCAGCTACAGTGCAGTTTCTCCTAGGAAATATTGCCCTTCCTCTCCTCTCCCAGCCCCGACCCCCCACATTCCACCACCTGTCCTAGCAAATCAGTGCAGTGGCGTTAGCCCCATCTTAATCCAGGACATTGACCAAGAACTGAAGTCACTTGCCCAAGGCGGCAGAGAAAGCTCGAGGCAGACCCAGAAATAGAGTCTAGGTTTCCCTCCTTCCCCTCCGCCATGGGAAAGGCTCCTCCTACTGCTGTTTGGCTGCGGCACTCGACATTTCTACCCAGTAATTAAATTTGCGACAACGATGACAACAACTGTGGCTGTGGGGTTTTTGCTTTTTACATAGATACTTGGATTCACAACAACAATTACTCATAATTATAGGTGGTGTTTCTGTTTTCATGTATGGGGGAGCATACTACTAGTTTAGAGTGTATACTAGTTTATTTTGTTTTGTTTTATTTATTTTATTTTTTTTCTTATTGAAACCAAGTCTCACTCTATTGCCAAGGCTGGAGAGCAGTGGCATGATCGTGGCTTACTGCAACCTCCACCTTCTGGGTTCAAGTGGTTCTCCTGCCTCACCTCCCAAGTAGCTGAGATTACAGGTGCCTGCCACCACACCTAGTTAATTTTCGTATTTTTAGTAGAGACGGGATTTCACCATGTTGGCCAGGCTGGTCTCTAACTCCTGACCTCAAGTGGTCAGCCTCCCAAAGTGCTGGGATTACAGGCGTGAGTCACCACCCCTGGCAGAGAATGTTTACTAGTTTATATGCTCTACTAGTTCAGAGAGTACACTAGTTTGAGTATAATAATTTTAGAGTGGGGCTTTCTGAAAATAATTATAATCAAAAGTCATTTTTAGTAGTAACCGGAGTACATCGGACATCATACAGACCTAGGTTCAGATCCATATTCGACCATTTGCTAGCGACTTAGACACAGCACTCACTTTCTTCAGCCTGTTTTATCAGCTGAAAAGTAGAGAAGTAGAGCTCATATCCATATCCATCTCATAGATCTCATAGGTCATGAGTCAGTCTGTTTTTTGTTTGTTTGTTTGTTTGTTTTTGAGATAGAGTCTAGCTGTGTTGTCCAGGCTGGAGGGCAGTGGTGCAATCTCAGCTCACTGCTGCCTCAGACTCCCAGGCTCAAGCAATCCTTCCTCAGCCTCCAGAGCAGCTAAGACTACAGGCAAGTACCACCATGTCCAGCTAATTTTTAAATTGTTTATAGAGATAAGGTCTCACTATGTGACCAAGCTGGTCTTGAACTCCTGTCCTCAAGCAATTCTCCTGCTTCAGCCTCCCATAGTGCTGGCATTACAGGTGTGAACCACGGCACCCAGTCATAAATTATGAATATTAAATGAAATACTGTGTTAAAACACAGTACACGCTGCCACATGGGAATGTATAGTATAGTACAGACCAGTTACTAAAATGAAGGCAGAGGGTAACAAAGTCTGGGAGAGGATAGCAAATGGTGACAATGGCGGCGGAGGGAGAGATAAGGCGGGAGAGGAGACCAAGGCTCAAAGAAATAGCCGGCCAGGTGATACAACTTTCCAGTGATTGGGCCAGGATTACAACCAAAAACTCCAGCCCTGACTCTCAGGCTTGCACTCAATTCACTTAAATTTGATTCCATATGCAGCTTGTAAAGACTTTCCATGCAGGAAGCGCCGGCTAAATATCACAGAATTACAAAGGTGAGTAAAAGAAGGACAATCTAGAGGTCAGAATAAGAAACCTACTCCAATAACTATAATTCATGACATTAAATATTCAGCATCAGCAAAGTGTTTATGGCAGTACTAGAGAGAGGAACAGCTTTCATAAAAGAGATGACATCAGGATATGTGGGTACCATTTTATGTACATCAATTCCTTTCACTACTCAATACTTAATAAGGATCTAGATTTTTTTTAAATATGATCCAAAGGATTCAGCCAACCAGATAAAGCATTACAGCTGTATTTGAATCTACCTAGTTTATCTAGATGCAGTGATTCCCTTTATATTAGTAATTGACGAAAAACTAATACTGTATAATTCTAGATGTGGTGTCTTGAGTCAAAATTCATGAGAAAAAAAAAACTTTGTCGCCCTCAACCATCCATCAGCCCATCAGCCCCCATCACCAAAGCATCCACTGCAATTTTTCTTTTTTTTTTTTTTTTTTGAAACAGAGTCATGCTCTGTTGTCTAGGCTGGAGTGCAGTAGCACGATTTCAGTTCACTGCAACCTCCCCCTCCCGGGTTCAAGGGATTCTCCTGCCTCAGCCTCCCAAGTAGCTGGGATTACAGGCACACACCACCACACCCAGCTAATTTTTGTATTTTTAGTAGAGACAGGATCTCACCATGTTGGCCTCAAACTCCTGACCTCAAATGATTCACCCACCTCGGCCCAGCCTCCCAAAGTGCTGGCGTTACAGGTGTGAGCCACCATGCTTGACCCTTCTGTGCATTTTTTTTCTCCTGTTTGGGTTCCCAGACACTGCTGGAAGGTATGTCAGCACTGCCCTGCTGAGAGAGCCAACTTGCAAAAGCTTGAGAGCAGGCTGAGATCACCACTTCCAGAAGCCCCGCTGTTGCCCAGCCTCAGAGTAACAGAAAAGGCCCAGGTTCCCTGCAGATGGCAAGCACCCATGTTTGCCATGACCCACCACACAAAGCCCAAGTCCCCAGTCAAATATCTTCCTCCTTCCCAGTTCCCAAAGCTGAAGAATGAGGGAGCTTGTTGGTGAAGTCCATGAAAGTTGGCAGAACAAGGTGGAGGCTGGCAGAGCTGGTGATATTAACATTCAACTCTGTTAAAGACAAATCTGCAGCAGAGTGGAATAAAGCCACCTAAGCTGCTGACTTTCTGGCAGTCCAGCTTGACTGGAGGCAGGATTCGGAGAGTGCAGTGATATAAAGAGGTGCTTCATGATGAAACTTTATAAATGCCAGTTCTAGCTGGGAGTGGTGCCTCATGCCTGTTGCAGACTTTAGGAAGCCGAGGTGGGAGGATCACTTCAGCCCAGGAGTTTGAGACCAGCCTGGGAAACATAGTGAGACTTCATCTATATGAAAGTTAAAAATTAGCTGGGTTGGCCAGGTGCAGTGGCTCATACCTGTAATCCCAGCACTTTGGGAGGCTGAAGCAGGCAGATCACCTGAGGTCACAAGTTCGACACCAGCCTGGCCAACATGATGAAAACCCATCTCTACAAAAAATACAAAAATTGGCCAGGCATGGTGGCTCACACCTATAATTCCAGCACTTTAGGAGGCTAAGGCGGGCAGATCACGAGGTCAGGAGTTCAAGACCAGAGTGGCCAACATGGTGAAACCCCATCTTTACTAAAAATACAAAATTAGCTGGGCATGGTGGCTCGTGCCTGTAATCCCTGCCACTTGGGA